AACATTCAGCATATGCTGAAGTCTAGTTCAAGGCATCCCGCCATAGGGGTCATGAGAGCAAGAGCACATTTAGTATTATTTCACCAATTCTTCAAATGGCATAGCAGCCTTAATTTACATTTTTAGCAAGAGATTTCTAATTTAACTAAGTTAAATGTTAATACACAGATGATTCAAATTTCAATTAAAATTAAATTGAACGTTTATTAAATTAAAAATTTAAATTTAAAGAGCATATGATATAAATCACAATTAACCAGGGGTCCTAATCAAAGATAAAATCCTGGCATTTTGGTTTCTAACAAATTCATACACAGAAAGATGGGTAGCAATGTGCAGAAAATTTCAACTTAAAAATATAACCCTGCTCAAATCAGTGGAAAGGAAGCAAGGATGTTTAGAAGGGAATAGTTTAATGGATGAGATGTCTTGTACATCAAAATAATTTGATATATACTCAGAATCAATGTAAAATTGTAAAGAAAATATTAAAAAGCTAGTTAGAAGTCTGAAAAGTACTAAAATTTAGACCCTAAGTGTTAACAAACTGAAAATTATGTTTATTATTTTGAAACAAAAATCAGTATAAACTGAAAATTTTTCATTTGACATGCTAATTATTGTTCAGAAAACTATGTTCAGAAGAATACGTTTAATCATCATAACTATTACAGACATTTTTCTAAAAGTTGTTAAGCCATCTTTTTAAAACTATTCATTCTCATCAGATTAATCCAGGACCTTTGTAAGGGAAGGAAAATCCATGATTTAAAATGCCTCTCCTTTGTTCTTCCTGCACCAGTTGGAGAGAGATGAACTGCAAGCACCATTCCAGGCTAAAATAACAGGAGGACCTCGTTCCAACCAAAACTCTCCAGATGTTGCTTGATTATAGGAAGTTCTACCCACATCTCACCAGCCACCCAAACAGAATGAGTTTCATGCCTCATGAAAGCTGTGAGACCCCTCTAGGGTCTGACTCTCAGGACTTCCACCTCTATTTCCAGGAAGTAGAACAAAGTTCCAGAAAAGAAAGCCAACTGCTGAGTTGAGCCTTGTCCAGTAATTACTCCTAGTTCCCAGTTAGGAAATGAGGAAAACAAGTAGTTCACCAAGTGATCGAAATGGCCAAGAATGAAATTTACTGATTTACCAAAAAAAACCAAAAACATTAAAATGGTTTTAACAGCCTTAAAAGCAATGACTTAACAATGTTGAGAAAAATGTCCCAATATAGTTACTAATGATTAAATGTACTTCTCTGAGCTTAATGTAGTGTCCTTCCCATGAGAGGTCACTGTGGTGAGCGGGCTTGGCCCACAGGTTCCACAGGTACAAGTAGAAGACAAAAGCTAAAACACAAGAATCAGAATCACGGAATCCTGTCAAAGGCAGCACACAGAGGAGAAACTAGAGAGGTGTGGCCAGAAGGAGCTAGGAAGGTGAGGAGGCATTAGGCAGTGACTCCGAGTCTAATAAGGTCAGTCTAATAAGGTCACTAAATAAGGTCAGAGAAGAGGATGAAACTGGATTTGTCAGTTGAATTCCACAGATTGGGTGAGCAAACACTCAGAACAGTCAGGAGATTGTTGCAGGGGATTTGGTTGAGTTAAAGGTAGGAGGGTGGAATTAATATACTCCTTCTTGTAGCCGGCAGTGAGATTTTTCCTTCCATTCATTTACAGTTTGGGTAGGCAGCCCTACTGGATGTCATTTCCTCTTTATTGGGTGACCTTGAAGGTCACCTAGGATGAGAGGCAACAGAGAGACACGTGGGCTTTGGAACTGGGATCAAACTTCAGAAGGGACTCTGTGAAGTCAACTTACAGTCTGCGAGACATTGTAACATTTACTTTACCTGCCCAATGAGCATCTGAAATATGAGGATAATTACACCACCTTCATAGAGTTACTGAGACCAGTACCTGAGATCAGAGATGGAAAGTGCTAGAAATATCTAGTGCTTGATGAACAGCAGATGCTAAATAATCATAATATCAACCTCCCTTCCTATAGAAATTGTCCCCCTAAATGACTTTGCATCTTACCTTTGATATATCTAGCCTTTACACTTTCTTCAAGAAACCTGATCTCCCTAAACCAGGAAGTGAAACATTGGAGTTGAGTCATACTGTATGTGACTGAGTGCTTATGGTTTGCTGCCTGACTCCTTTGTTCTTCATATATTCCATCACTGACTTTCTTCATGACACACATATAAGATTAAACTTGTTTTATTTATTAGGAAAATAATTTTCCTTACTTATTTTGATGACTTTATAAAAACTGGCTCATAGGTCACTTTTCATAATTGCTCCCATTTGGCTGCCGGTTTATAATTTATAATTACTAGCAATGGCAAACTCTTACCTTTGGCAGCACATAAAAAAATAGCTGCCAAGTGCCCAGCCAGCTGTCTGTTAAGGCAACTGCATTTCTGAAAGATACAGTGCCAGAGATCAAATGTTTTGATGACACCATTATAAATTTGGTAGCTAGTCTTCTAGGATCTTCTAAGGAATTGTTCTCTGAAAAGTCTCTGAAGTCTGTTTCCTTTGTGTCTTTTCAGCCTTTTAATTAGGCACTGAATTACCCTCTCTAGTCTAGAAATAGGGACTCCCAGAGAAAGCACATTGGTCCTTATTGCATCTGTGCAGTATTTCCCAATCTGACATCAATATCACTGTCCCTAACATGCCCAAGGCAAATGGTATTAAGTAATGTGTACCAAAGGCTGTGGCTGTGAGATTTCTCTTTAAGAATTTATATGCACTCTATAGGGGATTTCCCAATAGTTAATACCTCCATGCAGTGGGTCCCAAAACTAGTAAAATTATTGGGAACTTTTGCTTAGGGAATGAAAGGATCAAAATGCTGGGAACTTAGAAATGGTTGTTTTTGAGATGACATGTAAACTGTTAAGAGAGAAGCCTTTTCTTTTTTTTTTTTTTTTTGAGACGGAGTCTCGCTCTGTCGCCCAGGCTGGAGTGCAGTGGCCAGATCTCAGCTCACTGCAAGCTCCGCCTCCCGGGTTCACGCCATTCTCCTGCCTCAGCCTCCCGAGTAGCTGGGACTACAGGTGCCCGCCACCTTGCCTGGCTAGTTTTTTGTATTTTTTAGTAGAGACGGGGTTTCACCGTGTTAGCCAGGATGGTCTCGATCTCCTGACCTCGTGATCCACCCGTCTCGGCCTCCCAAAGTGCTGGGATTACAGACTTGAGCCACCGCGCCCGGCGAGAGAAGCCTTTTCATGCAGCAGAAGGAAACATTTAAAAAGCAGAGAAAGAGAGCGCCTTCTACCAGTGAGCAGGAGTTAGGGGAGGGTTAGGAGACAGGGCAGAGAGAACAAATAGCACGTTACCAACGTGTACCCCCTCATTGTTCACTATTGAGCATTTCTCTGTCCCAATATTTCTTTGTGTGTGTGTACGGTGTTTTATTTTTTTATTTCTGTATCACCCTTTGTGGAGTCATGTGGTTCCTCAACTTGAACATAAACCAAGTAGGGAGAAAAAGGAGCAGGAAAAGACCCACCCTTGTAGCTGTTCAAAGCGCTCTCATTTTCCAGAGTTAAGAAATGGCATTTTCTGAATGTATAATCTTTTTTTTTTTTTTTTTTTTTTTTTTTTTGAGACAGAGTCTCACGCTGTCTCCCAGGCTGGAGTGCAATGGCGTGATCTCGGCTCACTGCAACCTCCGCCTTCCGGAGGGTTCAAGTGACCCTTGCCTCAGTCTCCCAAGTAGCTGGGATTACAGGAGTGCGCCACCACACCCAGGTAATTTTGTATTTTTAGTAGAGACAGGGTTTCGCCATGTTGGCCAGGTTGGTCTCAAATTCATCACTCATCAGGTGATCCACCCACACTGGCCTCCCAAAGTGCTGGGATTACAGGCATGAGCCACCGCCACCTGGTCTGAATGTATAATATTTTGAAATTATTTCCATTTAACTGGTTTCCAGAATGGAAATCACTTCAATAGTTTCAGTTCAGAGATCAGCATAAAAGTAATTCAAATATCTGGAGTCTTGTTTTTTCCCTTTTTTCTTTTTTTCTGAAATAATGTCATCATGTAAAAATAATAAAAGAATCTATTGGAAAATTGGTGATACTCTAAGTACCTAACACCTCCTGTGTAATAACTTGAAAGTGCTTCCTTTTGAATATCATAACATAAATGTTTGACACTTTTCTGTTAGCCTAATAGAATACAGAGGCATTTCCAATTTAAAATGTAAGGTTGACAATTCGCAAGAAATACTCATTAAGTCTCACACTATCTCTTGTTTTCAGTATGATGAAACTTTCCTCTTTGGACTTACATAAGATCACCAAGGAACCCTTGCGTGGAGGAAGAAAATGTGGTTTTAGTTTATGAACACTTAACCATATAATGCCCTCCCAAATCAGTGTAGCTGTGGCGTTCCCCCCCCCAACACCCTCTCCACATGTAAGTTATTTGGCAATTGAATTGATAGCTAAATAAGATTCTGCTAATTGAATTGATAGCTAATTGAATTGATAGCTAAATAAGATTCAGACCTTGAAATCTAGAAAAGCCAGACACTATTTTAGCATACACTGCACAGGACTAAAAATACCTCAAGCTGTTATATTTGCATTACCATGAAATTGAATAAAGGAAGATCAAGATCTAGATATATGAGCATGTTTAAATATTATCCCTTAAGTTATTTGCTTAGTTTCTAAGGCATGTTAATCTCCCTCTGTTTTATCTGTAGTTGTGGGAGGTCTAAATGCAGAGCCAACAGGGAGTGCTTTGTGAAGCTCAGCTCTGTGGTGTCAGCAGTGAGGGAGTGTTCGTGGGCCTCCTGGCCCTGACTTGGTAGGCAGAGCTGGAGTGCAGTCAAGACTGGCTTCTTTTGCATCAGGCCATTTCTCAGCCTCGCTATTGGCCTACAGAACAACTTTCTGCTGCTGTGAGAGAAGCCTATGTCTTGCTGGCTGGGCAGTACCTGGTGTCGAGAATCTTCCACTCACCGTCCCACTTGGTCATCATCACACCACTTTTACTATCTGACATGGCAGGCGCAGGCGGCTGTGAACACCTCAGCAGATTCCTGGAAGAAACAAATAAGATCATAAGATTGCAATGGATTTGGTTTTATAGCTCTCAAGTCTATCCAAAACCTGCTAAAGGCCTTAGTATTTGCAAACATTCAGGGAAAAAGAGAGAAAAAGAGCAAATTACCTTCCCTTTAGAAGAGGAGGGAAAACATTTGCTCAGATGCAAAGATAATTAAGAAAGTAGCCAAAACTCTTGGAAGCTGACGCTTTTTGACATAGAGAGTTTCCAAAAACAAAGTGTTACTGATGGCAACATTAATTCTTCTGCACCCCTGTGCATTGTGAAGTATTTCCAGGGTAAGGCCTGAGGCACTCAGAAGATAAAGCTCACCAAAGGATAATATATCCCGCCTTCCCTCCCCTGACTCTCTCCAGACATTGAAAAGAAAAAAATGCAGGTTTTTTTCATCCACTACCAGCTACAGAATATGAATGTTTGTTATTTGAGGCAGCTGTGTCTTCCCCCTTTAAATCAATGGAAATCTAATGCCATGCAGTGCATGCCAGGTGGAGACAAATTCATCTCTTAGCATGAATGTCTTGCATCACATAACCCAAAAGAGTGCTTACCTGGGTCCAAGGAAAAATTAATTCTTCTTCTAGTCAAGTGAGGCTCCCCATAGGGTCTTTCTCCAACATTATACTTCAACTCTTCCCCAAGTCCTGAGTACCCTGGCTCTCTCTAGCCAGGTTTTAGTGGTCAGCTTCCAACACTGAGGATTTCTTCTGTCCCACCTGTCTGTTTCTGGGAGGAGCTGGGAAGGAGGGCAGCCCTGCAGTTCTGTGTGTGCTGAGAACGTTCACCGGTGACCTAGTACAGCCCTTCCTCCTTCCTTCTTCCCCTGCCTCCTCCTCCACTCTTCCTCCCACAGACGGCTCCAGAACTGCAGAACAGTTGATCACAATATTGCTGTTACCACACAGCAAATATTTCAGATAGTTTTTAGTTAGGAATAAAAAAGATTCTGGTTTGTGAGGAGTCAAAAGGCAAATTTTTGGATCATCTCAAATTATGGAAACTATTTCAAAACTGTACTGTATAGTGATGACACCCAGACTCTAGAATCAGCCTGAGTCCAAATTTTCCCCTCATTGTAAGACACCTTGAGAAATTCACAGAACCTTCCATAGCCTCAGCTTTCTCATGAGTAAAATAAGAATCATTCAAGAATTAAATGGGATAATCTATATGAAGAGCTTTTTATGTTCCTGGCACACAATTGTTTAATAAATATTAAGAGTTTTATTAAATCATAATACCTATTCTATAATTCTAATAATACCTCTTTACCAGTGATATCATACTTAAAAGGTATAGAAATTATTAATAAAAGCAAAATTCTCAGTAAGTTTTGGAAAATTAAGATTGAAATGAAAGAAATTAAACCTCTAAATAAAGTAAGTGTGTGCAACAACATGTCACAGTCAACACTTTCCTAGAAAAAGACTTTATACTTTGTAGTAAACATGAAAACTAGGACCTTAGCAGAGTTAATAAAGGTCAGACTTCAGGACATTGTATCTGCAGTCTTGGCATTGTCATTTGGGCATTGTAAACTCACTGACCTTCTCACAAACTGAATTGCTCCTACATATGTTGCAGTGTTGAACGTGCCTATTGGTCAACAGACAAAGGGAAACTAAAAGGTATGACTCTTGACCAATAAGAAGCATCCTCCCTTTTGTAGTTCGAATTGTGTCCTCCAAATGGATATGTTTAAAGCCTAACAGTACCTTATAAAGTGACCTTACCTGCTAATAGGGTCTTTAAAGGTAATTAAATTAAAATGAGGTCGTTAGGATTGGGCTTTAATCCAGTATGACTGGTATACTTATACAAAAGGGAAACCTGAACCCAGAGACACAGGCAGGGAGGACATCATGTGAGCATGAAGGCAGAGATTGGGGTGATGCACCTACAGGCCAAGGAACACCAGAGATTGCCAGCAAAGCACCAAAAGCCAGGAGAGAGGCATGGAGCCGACCCTCCCTCAGAGCCCTCAGCAGGCGCCAGTCCTGCTGACACCTTGATCTTCGAATTCAGCCTCCAGAATTGCAAGACAATAAAGATCTTTGTAAGCCAATCCGTGTATGGCCCTTTGTTATGGCAGCCCTAGTAACTAATGCACTCCCTTAAAATTCTACCTGTTTTTCTAACTATTCCAGCTGCTACACTGGGCCGCAGCCTCCACTTCTCTGCTTGCTATTGTGTTCGTGATTGCTATTGCATATCCTCTTAGATGCCCTTTAGCTTTTCTGTTGTTGTTCGTTTTTTCACCCTGTTGAGTCTTTAGAATAATTGGCATGTCTTATTTTGAGTCTTACTAGTTAAGGTTGAGAATCAACTCAGTCTGGAAACCAAGTGTTGGGCCTGGTTTAAAGTAACACGACTCCATTCTACCACAAGGGCTGCAAAGGCAGCAGGAGCTAACAGATTGGCTCAACCCTGAATGTCTTCAGAATCTCAGACTTTCACACTGATCATGATTCCAGCTGCTAACATGATCACCTGTTTGGCTTTTTCTCCAGTGCATGGACGAGTATCATAGAAGAGGTTTGCCATGTTTTTCAGCTCTCTGGCATCCAACAACTGACTACAACGAGCACCCTAATTTTCCTTTGAGGGAAGTCTTTCACTATAAAATTCCATTTGAGATATTCTCTAATCCTGACTGCCTCCTCTCAGGAATGAAGGGACCTAAATCCTACCTGGCCTTTTAGTATAGCCAGGGAGTCAGCCTGTCAGACCTCCTTCCTGGAAATTTGAATCCTGAACAAGGAAAACATATTTTTTGGATTTCAGACTCATCCCAGCAGCTACACAAAGACCAGATGGCTTCTGCATCATCATTTCTGATGCCAAGCCTCTGCAGCTGCCTGGCAACTGCCACTTTTCCAAGACATGTGCTTCAGCCTCTTGTTAATACTTTAGCCCCTGGTATGCTTCCAACATATTCCGACTTCCCCCCCTGCTTCCTCCCTTCCTCTCTCCTATCCTCCCTCTTTTTCTCTGTTTCTCTTCTTTCTTTTCCTTTCTTTCATTTTTTTTTTCTTTATTTTTTTTCAGACGAGAGTCTCGCTCCTGTCCCAGGCGTGAGTGCCAGTTGCGCGATCCGGCTCACTGCAAGTTCCGCCTCCCGGGTTCACTCCGTTCTCCGCTTCAGCCTCCTGAGTAGCTGGGACTACAGGCACCCGCCACCGCGCCGCTAATTTTTTGTGTTTTAGTAGAGACGGGTTTCACCGTGGTCTCGATCTCCTGACTTTGTGATCCGCCCGCCTCGGCCTCCAAAGTGCTGGGATTACAGGCGTGAGCCACCGCGCCTGGCTCTTTTCTTTCTTTCTTTCCATGTTTCTTTCTTGATTTCTGTCTCTCTCTCTTTCTCTTCTCTCTCTTTCTTTTCTCTCTCTCTCTTTCTTAACTTGTCTTAGGATGACCCAAGTTGGTCTCTGTAGCTTGCAACCAAGCTAATCTGACATATTCAAGGGCTACTGAAGAGACAATGCTGGACTAGGGCACAGCTTCACCTCCTATGAGCAATGGAGTATTAGGAAAATCTCTTGGCCACTTTGAGTTTGTTTGCTCATGCAGAATGTGAGACTGATAACTGCCTTCTTTACCTCTGAGACTTGTGCAACCAGTAAATGGAATAATGATGGTACTAAAGACAGTGATGATAGTGCCATTTGAGTCTCATAAGAATAACATTCAGGGAAAAGATACAGAGGTGAAATGGAAGGTGCAATACTTAATTCGCTTTTTAAAATTACACAATAGAAGTTGGGTGTGGTGGCTCACATCTGTAATCCTAACACTTTGGGAGATGGAGGAGGGCAGATCTCTTGACCCCAGGAGTTTGAGACCAGCCTGGACAACACGGTGAAACCCTGCCTGCCTCTACTAAAAAAAATAAAAAAAATTAAAAAAAATACAAAGAATTAGCCAGCCAGCATGTGCCTGTAATCCCAGCTTAGTTTGAGACCAGCCTGGACAACATAGTGAAACCTTACATCTACTGAAAAAAATTAGCCAGCCAGCATGTGCCTGTAATCCCAGCCACCCAGGATGCTGAGGTGGGAGAATCACCTGAACCCAGGAAGTCAAGGCTGCAGTCAGTCATGATTGCACTACTGCACTCCAGCCTAGGCAATGGGAGTGACACCCTGTCTCAAAAAAAAGAAAAAAATTACATAATTTATTTCTTCCCGAGTATTGTAATAAAATAATTGAAAAATATATGTTAGCGCATGAAGAAAGAGAAGAATTCCTTAAAAGACATATTCAGTATTACATAAATAACACTCCTGTTGGTTTACTTGTTTTGTAAATGTGGATTTCTTCATTTTCAGTTTTCTTAAAGAAAATTCTATCTGTATGTGTTACAACTAAACTTGTGAGCCCACCCATACCAGATTGTACAATAATACCCCCAAAATACAATGTTTGTAATATCTTTTGTTCACACCTTACTGTTTTTAGCTATTTTTTCCAATAAACATGTTTATTGAATTATACACTCAGAAAAGTATACAAATCATAAAAGTACGTTTCACTGGATTATCACAAAGGGAACACATCCATATAAATACCAACTAAGTTAAGAAATTAAACATCGCTAGAAAACACCAGACTGGGTGTGGTGGCTCATGCCTGTAATCCTAGCACGTTAGAAGGCAGAAGTAGTCAGATTGCTTGAGCCCAGGAGTTCAAGACCAGCCTGAGCAACATGGCAAAACCCCATCTCTACAAAAATTAGCTGGGCGTGGTGGCACACACCTGTAGTTCCAGCTATTCAGGAGGCTGAAGTGGGACAATCCTCTGGGCCTGGACAGTCAAGGCTGCAGTGATCTGTGATTTTGCCACTGCAATGCAACCTTGGAGAAAGAGTGAGACCCTGTCTCAAAGCAAAAAACAGTAAACAAAATACCCCCAAACTAGGAAACACCAAAAAACAACATCATGTCTCTCCCAAGCCATATCCCCTCCATCCTCAAAAAATATTAACTGCCCTGAATTTTAACACCACAGAATAATTTTTTTGGTTTTTGAATTCTATATAAATGAAATTATAAACCATGTAATATTCTGTATGTGAGTTATATGGCTCAGCATTATGTTCATCCTGATTGTTGAGTATAGAGGTGTCGTCCTCATTGTTGTGTGTTATTCCATTGTATAAATACACTACAATTTGTTTATTCACTCAATTCTTTACAGTTTAAAATGTTTCCAGTTAGAAGCTGTTACAAATGATATTGCCCTGAACATTCTTGAATGTCTTTCAGCATACATATAAATTTATGTTGGATATTTGCTTAGGAATGTAATTGCTGGGTCATAGAGTATGAACTTGTTCAAATTTTATAGATGCAGAACAGTTTTCCCAAAGAGACTGTGAATCACAAATAGTGGTCTGCATCCTTGTCAACACTTGGCATTATCAGTTATTTCAAATTCTTGGTATTCTGATGGGATTTAGTGTTGTCTCTTTATAGGTGCAATTTGCATTCCCTTGATTCTAGTCACACACACAAAAATAAAAATCATACCATCGTTCATTATTTAGACTCAAGAATCTATAAAGAGATGAACTGCACCAAAAGAAGCTCAAAACATTTCAACATTCCACTCAAAATGAAAACATACATTTGACTCTCCATGTGCATAGGAGACTAAGTGTGTAACTGAGGAGTTCTTCAAATAGCTCCTATATAGAATTTAATGTTTGTGAAAGGATAAATTATAAAAAATATAAAATATGCTAATTTGAAGCTTACATATATACTTAAAATTCAATA